TGTTCTAGTTCTGTTCTAGTTCGTCTAGTTCTGTTCTAGTTATGTTCTAGTTCTGTTCTAGTTCTGTTCTAGTTCTGTTCTAGTTCTGTTCTAGTTCTGTTCTAGTTCTGTGCTAGTTCGGTTTTAGTTCTGTTCTAGTTCTGTTCTCGTTCTGTTCTAGTTTAATTCTGGTTGAGTTAAAGTTGGTTTTATAGAATGTTAAGTTTTTTCATCACCTAAAGTGCCGCATTAGCTTTTATTTTCATTATCCTTTTTAACCTTATGGTTCTCTTCACATTCACTCTATTACAACTTATTTTCTGAAACATATTCCCAATAGTTGTTTTCAGTTAGAATTTATGGCCAAAGCCCCAAGAAAAAAATAAAAACAAAATGTCTTATTTGAGTACGATTATCACACCCACACGATTTTAGGGAATTTTGTATGCTAAGAGTTTTTTCCTAAACAATTTTGTTTTTTTTGTCTTCGATAAGGACAACTTTTACTTCTAAAGAAGATAAAATAAGTATCAAGTTTTATTTTTATTTAGAGAAGTTCTTTTTTCTGTATTTTTTTTTTTTTTTGTATTTTGGCCAAAAAGGTCAAAAATTGTCTGGAGGAGAAAATGAAAAGTTATACAACACAAGACAGCACTTAAAATTGACGACAGACTGACGCGTGTGTTTTTGCTAGATGTATGCATGTAATGTAGAGAAAAAATTTTGCTGAAAATATATAAATAGAAAACTGAACAAACTTGTAGCCGGTGGATGTTGATTTTTCCAAAGTAGACTTTTAAGACGGCTGGAAAAACTTTTTTGTTGTTGGTGAAAGGAGGAGAGGGGGTGTGAAGAATTTTGTATTTCGGTTAAAAACAAAACATGTAGAAACATTAAAAGTAAATGATGTTGAAGTTACCACAGAAGAAAAAAACAAAACTACAAGTATAAAAATAAATAAAACTGAAAGGAAAATGCAAAAAAAAACTAACTCGAAATGTTTGAGAAATAGTCTTTTAACAGGGGCAATAAAAATATTGTCGGGTAAATAGAAAACATAAAAATAAGCAAAAAGGATGAGTAATGGTTAAAGGAATTTTGGTTAAAGATACTTTAAGGAATAAGAAAATTTTAAGGGAAAAAACTTGTAAATAGTTAAAAATATTTAAAACTGTAATCATAAAGAGCTTATGGGATTAGAACATAAAAATATTTAAAATTTTAGAGAATGAAGCAGCATATTCAGTTCCCTTATATAAAAGTAAAATTTTCAAATTTATTAAAAGTTTATGACTCAACTATAGGCTTTAGCAGATAACAACATAAAACAGGAAGTTTTAAGCTTAAAAAGGTCCTTAAATGTTTCTTTTATCTCTTCTTTTTTTACACAAATATCATTTTAGTATAAAAATTATTATATATGACTTAATAACAACATCCCTATTACAATTTATAAAATAAAACTGAGATGGACTCTATATGTTTCTCGTTTTCATATCAACACAGACAAGCCCTTGTTGTTTTGTGGCCTCAGGCCATAAAAATAGCACACAAATTTTCATCCATCAATGTCTGAACACATCATCTACAAAATATAAAAATAACAATAATAATAAAACCAAAAACAACAACTACAATAATATTATATCAAAAAATCTAAAGAAGAAGAAGATGGTAGAAGCAAGGAGGCACAAGAAGAAAAAACTTCACAAAAACAAAAATGACGAAAAATATTTAATATTCCCAGTACTAGGAATGTTTAAACCAAAATACACAGAGAAAATTTGAAAAAACAAATTAAAACTTAGTTCGGAGTCAGGTTTAGTTGAGTTATATATCAGTTTTCGAACAGCTCCAGTTTATTTCTAGTTCAGTTCTAGTGCAGATCTAGTTCGTTCTAGTTCAGTTCTAGTTCAGTTCTAGTTCAGTTTCTAGTTCAGTCTAGTTCAGTTCTAGTTCAAGTTCTAGTTCAGTTCTAGTTCAGTTTCTAGTTCAGTTCTAGTTCATTCTAGTTCAGTTCTAGTTAGTTCTAGTTCAGTTCTAGTTCAGTTCTAGTTCAGTTCTAGTTCAGTTCTAGTTCAGTTCTAGTTCAGTTCTAGTTCAGTTCTAGTTCAGTTCTAGTTCAGTTCTAGTTCAGTTCTAGTTCAGTTCTAGTTCAGTTCTAGTTTCGTTCTAGTTCAGTTCTAGTTCAGTTCTAGTTCAGTTCTAGTTCAGTTCTAGTTTCAGTTCTAGTTCAGTTCTAGTTCAGTTCTAGTTCAGTTCTAGTTCAGTTCTAGTTCAGTTCTAGTTCAGTTCTAGTTCAGTTCTAGTTCAGTTCTAGTTCAGTTCTAGTTCAGTTCTAGTTCAGTTCTAGTTCAGTTCTAGTTCAGTTCTAGTTCAGTTCTAGTTCAGTTCTAGTTCAGTTCTAGTTTAGTTCTAGTTCAGTTCTAGTTCTAGTTCGTTCTAGTTCAGTTCTAGTTCAGTTCTAGTTCAGTTCTAGTTCAGTTCTAGTTCAGTTCTAGTTCAGTTCTAGTTCAGTTCTAGTTCAGTTCTAGTTCAGTTCTAGTTCAGTTTCTAGTTCTGTTCTAGTTCAGTTCTAGTTCAGTTCTAGTTCAGTTCTAGTTCTATTCTAGTTCTGTTCTAGATCTGTTCTAGTTCTGTTCTAGTTCTGTTCTAGTTCTGTTCTAGTTCTGTTCTAGTTCTGTTCTAGTTCTGTTCTAGTTCTGTTCTAGTTCAGTTCTAGTTCTGTACTAGTTCTGTTCTAGTTCTGTTCTAGTTCTGTTCTAGTTCTGTTCTAGTTCTGTTCTAGTTCTGTTCTAGTTCTGTTCAAGTTCTGTTCTAGTTCTGTTCTAGTTCTGTTGTAGTTCTGTTCTAGTTCTATTCTAGTTCTCTTCTAGTTCTGTTCTAGTTCTATTCTAGTTCTGTTCTAGTTCTGTTCTAGTTCTGTTTTAGTTCTGTTCTGTTCTAGTTAAGTTTTATATCCGTTTTCCCTTAATTCTTTTGCATTCCTAATACAATTTCTCTCAGTGTTTTCTTTCGTTTCAGTACACAACTTCTTGTATGTAATATTTGCACATGAAACATTATACAAATGTCGTCAGAAATATTATTATTTCCTTTTAAACACAACACTGCAGTATAAACTCTTTGAATATTTTTTTTATAATTTTTATATTTTGGAAACAATCCAAATTCGTAATAATGAAATAAATAAAATTCTAAAGGCCCTGTGTGTGCTGTACAAAGGCAAAAGTATTAAAAGCTAAATACGCATACAAAACTCCAGTTGCTATTTTTATAGTTGAAAATAAACTGACAAAAGCAAAAAAAAAAATAAGTCACATCATGTTGTGTTTTGTTGGTGCCAAACAACACCCCACCCCACAAAAAACTCCCTCTTTGCAACAAAACTATAAATATTTGCAAATAAATAAATGACTCATGAATTTTCTCTAGAAGTAATCGTACTCTTTCTTATTCGTAAGAGTTTTTGTTTTTTTGAAGTAAGAGTGTGGAACGAATTATAATGAAGCAAGAGTTGTCGTTAGTGTAACGACAAACCGAAAAGTCTGCATTGTATATAGACGGCGTCATGTGCATTAGAGTTTTAAATAATTTTTGGAGCCTTTTGGCATAGTGTTTTTTGGGTGTGTGTGTGTGTTTTTTGATGTTTTTAGTTTATAGTTTTTGTAGTGTGTGCCAAATTGCATTTTTTTTGGTTGCTTTTTGTTGTTTTTTTTCAGCAGGGTTGAAAGTAAAAGGAATCTATAAATTATGGTTATAAAATTCAGTTTTTTGTTGTCAGGCGTCATTTAATAGTTTTCCCCCTACTAAAAGTGTTTGTTCAAAAGGAAATGTAATTTGTTTATGGTTTTTCTGTTTGCATCTTTTTATGTTTAAATTTTAATTATACTAAGGGTTTGTGTATGTGTTCATTTAGTGTTTTAGGGCTCATTAAACAAAGTTGAGGAATAAATTTTTGTCATTTTTAATGAAAACTAAAATTTCCGAAAAAAATTCTTGAATAATTTTATTATTTAAAAGTTTTTAGGAGTTGTTAACATAAAAAAGTTTACATATGGAAATGTAAATATTTGCCAATTTTTTAAATTGTTACACTAAGGCGTATGAGTGTTATTAATTAGGAGTTATTTTACAAAATTTTGCATAACCCAGTCATTTTTCAACAAAATGAAGACAAATAAATTACTTTTCATTTCAAACACTTTAAGCTTTAATAATCGGTAACATGATTTTGTTAAGATAATATAGTTTTTGTTGTAGAGCTCTTCAAAGTTAAACATTTTTCAAAGGAACTAATTTTTTTCAATTTTTCAAAATTTTAAACATTTAAAGTTTTTTAATTGTTAAATTTATTTAATTATTATAGGTTTTCTTAAGGATTTTTTTTAAAATTTAAGCTGGGGATCATATTTTTTCTAAAATTTTTAAAATTGTTATACTAAGGCGTATGAGCAATATTAATTGGGAGTTATTTTACAAAATTTTGCATAACTCGGCCATTTTTCATAGGAATAGAGGCAAATAAATTAGATTTTATTTAAAACACTTTAGGCTTTAATAATCGGAAACATATTTTTGTCAAAGTGTTATAGTTTTTGTAGTAGAGCCCTTCAAAGTAGAAAATTTTCCAAGGAAATGTTTTTTTTTTTAATTTTCTATAATTTTAAACATTTTAAGTGTTTTAATTGTTAAACTCATTAATGATTTAAAATATTGTTATAAAAACTTGTTAAAATTTGAATTGGAGACAGAATTTTTATTATATATTTAAAATTGGTGTACTAAGGCGTATGAGTATTATTAATTTGGAGTTATTTTACAAAGTTGTTTATAACTCGGCCATCTTTAATAGGAATAGAGGCAAATAAATTAGGTTTTGCTTAAAACACTTAAAGCTTTAATAATTGGCATCAAAATTCAATAACGATGTTATAGTTTTTGTTTAAGAACTCTTTAAAGTTAAAAAATAATTTCAATTTTTTAAATAATTAATTTTCTTTTTCTATTTCTTTTTTTAGATTTACAAATTTTAAATGAACTTTAGCAGCCAGTACTTTAAAACCAACCAAATATAAAAGGATATTGATTTAAAGTTACCAACCAGCAGCAAAAATAATAAAATTAAACCATTAATTAAATAAAAACTTTAAAATTATTAATATATAAAAAATATATATTATAAAAAACAATTAATTAATTTTAAAAAAACTTAAATATTCAAGAAAAATATTAGAGCCTAAGAAGTCCAAAAACAAATATATTAAACAAAAAACTGATATTAAAACAAATAAAGATAAAATCACGCCATTTACAACAATAAATAAATAATTAACACAAAATTATTAAAACAAACTCACACAGTTATTAAAATTTAAATAAATTATAAAAAACACTAAACTCCTTATAAACTTAAGCAAAAAAACAAAAAATTTGCATAAAACACTTGGTCTTTGAAAAACCAAGAAAAAGACAAGACATAATAAACCTCAAACTGAGCAAAATAAATCCCCTTCTCTACCCTTTTTCACTGGAAAAGAGAAAAACCAAGGGGAAGCTAAAAAAATCTCAACAGCAACAACTAAAAAATAAACAACAACGAGAGCAGAGTCTAGTCAACTGAAGAAACGACTTCAAAACGTAAAAAAAAACGAACAAAGTGAGTGAGTGTTTCTGCTGAAGTGCAACATTTTGTAGCAGGCCGCCTATAACACAGTCTGCATTACAATTTGCTAACGAACACACTTGCCACACACTAGAAAGACAAAAAAGAAGAAAGAGTTTAAAATTGTTTAGTTTTTTCGAATTTAATTTTCCAAAGAAAAAAAATTGCTTTAAAATATAAAAAGAAAATCTAATTTTCTCAAGTGTGTACAAATTTTTCCAAAAAATTTTTAATAAAAAAAAAAACATTTTTTAAAAAGACTGATATGGTTTGCAAAATATAAAACAAAAAAGTTTACAAAAAATTATACAAATTACTTAAAAGAAAAAGAAATTTCATAGAAATTTTTTTTAAACAGAATTTAAAGATTTTACAAAAATCTTTCAAATTCTCTCCAAAACTTTAAAAAAACAAACCCTTAATAAACAAATAAAAAGCAAAGGTTCCTGTTGACACAATTTCAAATTTTTATTAAACAAATTTTAAGAAATTTCTATTTTAAAAGAAAGTAACCAGAAGAAGTAAAGTTTTGTTGGAAAAGTAACTGTGATGAGTGATTTAGAAAAAATGAATGGTGCTAATGGCGGCACTTTAAACGGCCTAGTGGGTGATGAGACACCCATTATGGCCAATGGCTCGTTGGCAGCAACTGGGAATGGAGTAGCAGCTCAGGGCTCTACTACTAATGGAGCGGCTGGCGCTTCCACTGCTGCAGGTGATAATGGCGCTGCTGCTGCTGCCACTACTAATGGTGGTGGCACTGGTGTTGGTGATACTGGTACGGCTGCTTCTTTAAAAGCCGTTGAATCGGCTGTTTCTTGTTCTTCTATGGCTGGTGATGATGCTGGCACCGATGCTGGTGCTATCTCTATACCACCTTCCGAGGCGGGTGGTCGTCCTCCTTTGGATACTGCCTGTTCGGATGGTGGCGGCCCTTCCAGTTTGGTTGGTGGCATGGTTGGACCACCCAGCCCTTTAACCGGCTGTTATTTGCTTATCATTTTGGGTGAACCGCACTCCGAGGAGCATAAAGATAATATTCTACAACATTTGTTGAAAGGTAAGTGATTTCCTATTTACAATAAAATAATCAAATCACTTTCACTATGGGGCAAAAGTACTTAAAAAACTCGTCTTTTTTTACCAGTTAGAGAACTAGTCCTTTTAGTAGCAAAATTTTTATTTCTTTTCTCTAACAAATTTGAAACATTTCTTTTCTATAGACTTTAAAATTAGTTTAGAACTCAAAAATTTTTAAGGAATTTCCATTTTTTTAGAAAATTTTCAATGGTTTTTTCTATAATTGAATAGTTTTTATCAAATTTTGGCGTAAAACGTTTTTACATTTTAGAATTCCCAAAAAAAGTTTTAAATATTTAAACCAAAAATCAATTTTTAAGTTTTTTTTAACAATTTGTCTACTTAGGCGTATGAGTATTATTAATTGGAAGTTATTTTACAAAAACAACTATCTCTGGCTATTTTTTAAGGAAATGACAAGAATTATAACTGAACTAGCAGTGAACTAGAACAGACTAGAACTGAACTAAAACTGAACTAGAACTGAACTAGAACTGAACTAGAACTAGAACTAGAACTGAACTAGAACTGAACTAGAACTAGAACTGAACTAGAACTGAACTAGAACTGAACTAGAACTGAACTAGAACTGAACTAGAACTGAACTAGAACTGAACTAGAACTGAACTAGAACTGAACTAGAACTAGAACTGAACTAGAACTGAACTAGAACTGAACTAGAACTAGAACTGAACTAGAACTGAACTAGAACTAGAACTGAACTAGAACTGAACTAGAACTGAACTGAACTAGAACTGAACTAGAACTGAACTAGAACTAGAACTGAACTAGAACTGAACTAGAACTGAACTAGAACTGAACTAGAACTGAAACTAGAACTGAACTAGAACTGAACTAGAACTGAACTAGAACTGAACTAGAACTGAACTAGAACTGAACTAGAACTGAACTAGAACTGAACTAGAACTGACTAGAACTGAACTAGAACTGAACTAGAACTGAACTAGAACTGAACTAGAACTGAACTAGAACTGAACTAGAACTGAACTAGAACTGAACTAGAACTGAACTAGAACTGAACTAGAACTGAACTAGAACTGAACTAGAATTGAACTAGAACTAAACTAGAACTGAACTAGAACTGTACAAGAACTGAACTAGAAAAAAGATAAATTGAAAGAGTTTGCTTAAGGTTTGCCAGAGTTATCAAATGATTATTATCTAAAGCCTACTTTTAGGTTATATTAAAAAATCTCTTAAACACTTAATTAGTTTAATTTTTAACCATTTATAAACTGTAAAGCAAAATTATTATATAATAATTTAAAGTAATTATTATTAGATTTTATTACGGTTTATTTTTCTTTTCACAACTTACACTCAAACACAAATGTAGTTCAATGTTACAAAAAAAAATGTATAAAAACATTGTGGTATTTTTTTCAAACAAAGAGAAAATTAGTTATTATGACCATTATTGCTGGCTAGAGAATTAAAGGTAAAAAAATGTATTTTTAATAAATTACTTGCAGTAATAGAAAACTAAAGCAAAGCACACACAAAAACAATTAAATTTTGAAAAAGCAAAAAAAAAACTTCTTACAGATTTGCTGCTAGCTGGCTGACTGACTGGCTGGCAGTTGACTATACAATTTAAACAGCTGCTTTCCAAGCAGCACGCGACTTTAATTATTCAAGCGTTAAGTTTAGCGTTTTTGCTGTGTTTTTTGAATTGTTTATTTAAGTGTATTTTTTTTTTTTCTCTTGTGGTCTTAAAATATTTAGGCGTTATTTTTCTTTTGGTGTAATTTTTTTTGCATTTTTTGCTTTGACTTTTCTTTATGGTGTGCGGATTTGTTTAAAAAAATATAGATATAATTCTTAATGTTTAAATTATGATTCTTTCTTTCTGTTGGCAACGATAATTGGACAATAATTGCTTCAAGTGTTTGAGTGTTTAAAACGACATGACATTGTGTGTTTAAATAAAGAGGAAAATATCAGCTGAGTTTTAAGTTATTATTTGAAATTGTAGTAATAAGTAGACAAGTTTAGTCAATAGTTTTGTGTTACAAAAGATGTTGATTTTTCTTTTTTTTCCTTTTTTTGTTAAACGTTTTGAGTTTGTTTGTGATTTCAATCGGTAATTGTGTGTTTGTAGTTTTTTAATATTTTTATAATTAAAGTTTTTATCTGTTTCTTTTTCCTCTTGCTCTATGTTTGTGTTATAATTATGTTGATTTTATAGCAATTATTTTTGCTAAATGCTATTATTATTATTTTTTCTATAATAATTTTATTATAAAATTGTTTTTTTTTTTTTTGTAAGAAGAAAGATATGATAAATATCATGTTTTAATTGCAATTAAAAAAATTATTAAATATTAACGGAGAATTTTTTATTATTTAAATAGAAACATAAAGAACAAAGGAATTTTTTCGAATTAAACAGTTAAAACAATGAATTTATTATCAAGTTTTAATAATAAAGCAATAAATTTTCATTTTAAAGCTGATTTTAAAATGTATAGCATACCTTAAAGAGGTATTTTGAAAATATTTTTTTATATAGTCAACTTTTAGGGGTAAAGTTTAGACAATTCAATAGTTAACAAGAAAACCAACTGAAAATAAAAAAATTGTATGAATACCTCAACTTGCACAGTTTTAATAAAACTTTTAAAAACTAAAGCCTACTTTTGTGCTAAATTCAAAATTTTCTTTTTTGAAACCGCTTGAAAGCTTAATTCAATTATAGTTTCCGTTTAAATTCTTAATAAATTAACATTAACAAAAAAAATTTCCAAAGCTAAAGCCTACTTTTAGGATGTGTTGCAGTCCACTACTTAATACAGCATATATTTAGGGTTTAATGCATACAAGTTAAACAAATTATAGCAGAAAATCCAAAAAATTAGTTTTTTATTATTCCCAATAAAAACTTATAAAAAACTGTAATTAATATTGTAAAAGCAGTAAAGTAAAGCATACTTTTAGTGAAAATGTTAAGAAAATAAACAAATCATAATATTTTCTACTAAATTAAAACAAAATTAGCAAATTTTCTTAATTACTCATATTTAAATAAAAAAATACTAGGAATTACAGCATACTTTTAAGGTAATTTGTAAAATACTAATTAATACCGTATACTTTTGGGGCTAAATTGATTAAAATCTAACAAATTAAAAGAAAACTTATTAAAAATTATCGATTTTTAACAAATTAATGAAAAAATATTAAATTCTTCCACTATTTTTAGTTTTAAAGCAAATTTTTAAAACTAAAGCATACTTCTGAGCTGTAAACTTTAATTTGAAGGGTAAAGCTAGGACAACTATAGAAGAAAGATTATTAAATGTTATTTAAAATGGTAATTTGTAAAAAATTAAAAGTAAAGTATAAAATATGTTCAACTAAAAAGGTTTTAGAACAAAATTTTCTAAAAGAAATGCATACTTTTAGGAAGAATTAAAACTGTTATACTTAAAATTAAAAATTTTAAAAGAAAATTTAAAAGAAAAATTTAAAAGAAAAATTATTTCAAAAATACAGTTCCTAATGAATCTAAAGAAAACATTTAGAGATCTTCAATCAAAAAACATTTTAACACAAAACTTTCAAAAAGTAAAGCATACTTTTGGAATGATTTGAGCATTATACAGTTGAAACAAATCATTTTAGAGGAAAACTTTTTAAAACTTAAAGATTTTTAATGAAACAATAAAACAATTTAAAAATTTCTTAAAATTTAAAATTTTAAAAAAAGTAAAGCCCACTTTTAGGCTGTTTACTCTATTTAGTATAAGTTTGCAGCTAAAACCAGAGAAACTAAAATATGCAGGGAAACTTTTAAGAAATATGTACATATTTGTAATAAAGGGAAATATTAATTTTTTTTAACTAGAAACGTTTTAAACACTTTAATTTGAAAAAGTGAAGCATACTTTTGGGAAAAATTGGATATATTAAATGCAAAATTCTTAAAAATATTGAGTTTAAGTGAACTAAAAGAAAATCTTAAAAGTTTGTAAGCAAATTTGAAAAAAATAAAGCCTACTTTTAGGATATTAGCCATATTTAAAATATTTTAAGAAGTAAAGTAATAAAAACTAATCAAATTGTAAGAAAATTTCTTAAAAATTATAATCTAAAAAGAAAACTTTTAAAAATGTTAAAGAAAATCATATTTTATGGCCAAATTTAAAAAAATAAGGTATACTTTGAGGCCTATTTTAAAGTATTGCTGTTAAAATGTAAACCTTTTGTTACAAATTGTTTATATTAAACAAATTCAGGAAATTCTTAAGAAAATTTCAAAAATTCTGCTGTTAAAACTACTTTTGTACAATTTATGAAAAGTAATGTATACTTTTACGGTTACTTTTAAATTTGAACTAAACGCTGTTGTTTTTGAGGACAAGTAATGAAAATTTAACAAACTGTCTTACAATTTACAAGAAATATATTAAAAATATTTAAACTAAACTTCAATAACTATAGTATTACAAAAAAGGCATACCTTAAGGCTAATTTAAAAATTATATTTCGTATAGCATACTTTAGGGTAAAATGTTCTTTAATTTTCAAAGAAAATTTTTATAATCTTCTTAAGATATTGTTACTAAAACAAATTTGCTTAAATGAAGCCTACTTTTGGGCTGGAATTTTCAATAATTTTAGTTAAAACTGTTACAAAATTTCAAAATTTAATTAGATTTCTGTTATCTCTAGCAACAATTTAGCAAAATCATTTTAGTTTTTGGGCGTTTTCTCTTTTACCTACATGCAAATTTTGCTAAAACTTTTACTTATTTTTTCTGCAGTTTTTTTTTCCTAAAATCCCCAGATAATATTAAGAGATATGCCAATGAAAAAAATAACTTCTTAACATGCAAATATTGTAGCAAAAGCCAATTTAATGTTTCAGAAAAAGCAAATATTGTTTTGGTTTTTTTTTGGAAAACTTTAACATGCAGTTTTACGTGTTTAAACACCGTTGGTTTGTGCCATTTAATA